TATGGAGAGAGAGAAGACTGAGCTGGAGAGGGAATAAGAGGGATCAAGGGTGGCTAAGTGGGACACAGAGCCGCACAGACACTAGAAATAGAGAGGCTCAGGCTAAGAGCCTGTACATCAGAGTCTGAACTGCATTCCCCCCAAAACTGCTCACATGACAAGCCAACTTGCAAGCACATAACACAGGAGCCAAGAACTCACCTAAGATTGCCAGCTTTTTCATGTTTTCTTTTTTTCTATTTTACCCACATTACAGTTTTTTCAGTTCACAGAAGGAAGCAGACAATCTTGTGTGAATTCACTGACCCTATGTTATGTGACTAACCAACTTGCATTAGCAATATTTTTGCCTAACTCTGACTGTGATGTGTTGATCTACCCACATAGATGAATCAGTCATGCAAGTCTTTCTAGGATTATACCATTTCTCACTGTAGATGTCAGATCTCATTTTTGAAGCTCCCTCTATAGGTCTAATGGGAGCTTGATCTGTTTTGAAACACTGAAATTTTTGCTGTTCCAGGAACATCATATGTGGTTTTTTCCTGCAAAAGATAATGCTTTGTACAACCTTTCCCATATATTGGTGCCATAGCTGGATCACCATATTTAGGAAGTAAATCAGCAAAACCCAGTGCAAGCAGGCACATAGGAAGTAGGCAAACAGTTTAAACTAGTTAGATAAAATGCTAATGAAAGGTGGTGAACAGGAGTGAACATGTTGAGCAAAACGAGGAGAAGCAAATGGATAAAACAAGCAATTTCAGAGGTACCTGATCATATGCTCAAGCAGCTCCACGCATAAACTATCAACCAACCTGGAGGCAGCCTCTTCCTGTTTCCTTTTAGAGAGGGAGCTGCAGAAAGCAAAGCTTGTACTTCTCAGCACTAGGGTAAGGCTAAGGAATTAGACCTGACAATGACTCCCACTTTCACAGATTAATTGTGCTACACGCACAATGAGCTACATGCACAGTCATGCTTCCAACTGTGCTCAGTCACATGCCTGGGTTGATTCGTTACTCTTGTCATGGAAGGACACAGAGCAAGGACATACTCAAACGCCACAATAAGTCAGTGCCTATGCTAGAATAGAAACTCCCAATTGTACATCATTGTTAGATGTCGCCTTTATACTTGAAGAAGTGTTACATTACTGTCAAGTCTCTATGGAGATCAATGGAGTTCTCTTCTCTTCCAGGGACAGTACATTTTCTTGCATAGCTGCATCCTAGAGAAGATCTTAGAAAACCCCCTCATTGGCCTCTCTGATGTGGAGCTGTGAGTGTCTACCCACTTTCCCTTTGTGCATGGAATAAGCCTTTTAGGTCTCTCCTCTTCTAGCTGTTCCTTTACAAAAAGATCATTTCTCCCCAAGACTATCCTTTCTTCTCCACCCATTATGTGTGAATGGAACATCACACCACAGGTGTAGGACCAGGGCTGGAATAAGTGTAATGTTAAGACGAAACAATCTTGGTGTGCTTTTTGTAAAGTCATCACCATGAAAAATTCTTAATTGTGAATAGGTTTGCACTTACCTGAGTGATACCATGGCCCCTTCTTCAGTAGAAAATGGGGAGGGTCTCCTGGGACCACAACCTTCTTCCTCCCTTTGTTAGGTTTGCAGCCATTTGCCCAGCCCCGTGATGACTGCGGCTGGGCTCCATGCTCTTCTTGCCAATCCAGCTATGTGTGTTGCCAGCTATATTAATCCTTCCGTGTTGCTGCTGCCTTTTCTGTACCATCAGCTGGAGTTAGACAGATTTCACAGGCACGCGGAATGATGCAAATTGGTCTGTTGCTTTTTTCCAGCTCCCACCCTGTTCCTCTCAAGAGTTTCATTCAACATCATGCAAAGAACAGTTCCAAGGCCAATGAGGGCTTCCTGAGAGAGTATGAGGTAAGAGCTGGCCACAGGGATGCTAGGTGAAGGAAGGCTCTCCCTCCAACCCGTATTCCAAGAGGGCAGCCAGAGAAATTGGGACTGAGGTTGGCCCACTTCAGATCTGTGTGATCTAAGAAAGGTGCTTCAGGCTCAAACAGGCCTTGGGTGCCCATTTGTGCAGTCCTTTCCCACTCCCAGCTACTCCCCTTCCAATAGGACGACTCATTGCTGAGAACACACATCCATACACATGTGGCCGATGAGCAAATAATCCAAATGAGAAGTGGAGGAACCCTCTCCATTTTCTTCCCTGCCGGTTTTTGCTCTAACAGGCAGGTATTTAGCAGTGCCAGGGTAAGGGAAAGCAACACCATTTTTAGACCACCAAACTGCAGAACCCATCTGCACATTTTGCATGGCCACATACTTCTTCTTTCCATTTTATTCCCCTTTTCAAGCAAGAGCCACCTCCCAGCAGGACTGGCCCATCCATTAGGCAAAGGAAAGAAGCTCCCGTATGTTGGAGGACAGAACTGTGGGTGCTGAGCAGCCTGCCCTGCCCAGCACAAGCTACTTCATTGTCCTCAGGTGTGGTGGAGGACACTGCCTTACTGTCACTGCAAGATTCTCCTTCACTCAGGTCAGCTTATATAAAATGGAGATTTGCGATTTCTTCTTTGCCTCAGGCAGCTAAGTGTTTGGGGCCAGTCCTGTCTCCAAAAGGATACCTATATCCTTTCCCCCAGTGCAAAAACTACTGCAGTAAAGGGCGGAGCGGTTTCCTCTGCTTGAAATCCACAGCCTCAGAAGTTTTTTGTTGTTTAGTCGCAAAGTTGTGCCCGACTCATCATGACCCCATGGACAACATTCCTCCAGGCTCCCCTGTCTCCCACCATCCCTCGGCGTCCACCCAAGCCCACACCCACCTGTTCTTTTCAGTTAAAAGAAAGGCAGTGTTAGAAAACATGCACAGAGGTGACTGAGTTTCAGAACAGGACTGGCTCTGTGCTAGTGGCAATGCCAAATGTTGAAGCACCTGGTGTGACATGTCCACAACCCACTGCCCAGGATATTGCCATGCCCATCCTTGGTGAAAAGTGTGACCCAAAACCTGCACATTCCCTAGCCTCTCTTTTACTTTCCTGTTCTCCTTTTCTGCAGCAGATGCTCTTGGAGGCTGCAAAAGAGGAAGTCGATTCAGCTGTATCACTTTCTGGCAGCCAACAAATCATCCCAGATTCCAGCAAAATTCCTTGTGAGTGATTGTTTTTTGTTGTGCATGCAGGGGAATGCTAAACTGCAGACAAGGGCTAGGAATTTTAAAGGAAGAAAAGAGGTTTAGGTGACCTAATAGTCCTGCATACTTGGAGGATTACCTGACAAGGGTAGATCATAGGGTCATCATTTTATGATGGCTCCAGATAGCATTGTGTATGGAATCTAATGGAAGGAGGTGAAAATCTAAAAGTTTTTACATATTTGGACCACTGGATTCTGGTTCATTAGCCTGTGCTGGCACCAACTCTCTGATGTGCAAGTTGAGCCAGTTGTGGACTTGCATCTCTAGCACAGAACACAATTCGTGCATTTCTTTAAACACCAGTGACATTGACACAAACATGTACCTGAAAACCATGTGGCTCTAGTATGATTCATGCAAATCACAATTTGCTCAAATGATAATTGGCTGATACTGTACAAATCAAACTAGAGCCAGGCAGTTTTCAGGTGCTTATTTGAGCAAATGTCATTGGTGTTTAAATTGGTGATTAAAAATACATGCAACTTGTGGTTCTTCTTAGAGATAGAAGTCTGCATTCCCCCTTCTCCACCCCAATTTAGTCTGCTTCCAATTGTATCAGAAGGGGGCAGTGAACCTATTAAGCTCAAATGATCCTGATCTCCCTGCTTCTGTCCCTTACCCCTAATCTGACCACCTAACACCTAGGTGTAATCCCTATATGTCTAGACAATATGTGCAAAGGCAACACTCAGAATGTTCTTGCCCACTCATTCTATCTGCCCAATCTGTTTTCCCCCAGTCCTAGACATGCACAGGGACCTGGGCTTTCTTAACCCTGACACTAACCTGAAATTAACCCCAGCCCTAATTAGGGTCACCTTTAATAGTGGGTCAGAAGTGGGCAAGATCCTGTCTAGCTCAAACAAGATGGATTTCCCCATTTTGGTACATCCCTAGCTACATTCCTTTAGGTTTCAGAAAGTGGTATTGGGCAGCTTCTGCTTTTCTTTTGTTTTTTGCCATTTTATCCCTCACTGATCCTTTGGATTTGTTTATTCCATTCTACTGGTATATTCTCAGACAACAATAATGTATTTTACCAGTGGCATTCTCGCCTGTTTGCTTCCTATGCAGAGAGCACAGTAGGAAGTAAATGTAATGTGTGCTTACACTTTCCCTTTCAAACAGCAATAATTCATTTTTTTTATTGCCCACAAGGCCAACGCTTTATTCCTCAAAGATTAAAGCGTTCTTGTTAACTTTGGAGTTTTTGCACTTTCCAAAGCAAAATATTTTACTTCACCCAGAGTCAGCAGAAATGACAGTATATAAGCTAACTACATTATTGCTGGAATAAATTGCCATTGGATGCAATTTCACCTACCTTCCTGCTAAGCAGTAACTTACTGCAGCACTAACTTCAGTGGTAAAACTTTTCATCTTGGTAGAGTCAGATACACTGAAGCAAACAGAGTAATTTACACTGCACTATTTTGGCCTTCCAGGAATCAACTGTTGTTGTTTGAACAACTAGAACACACCCTTATATGTTTATAATGATCAACATATACCACAGATTTCTCGGTAATTCTTAAACTTATAGGATGGTATTAGTATCAGGGAGGCAGAAGTTATGAGGCCTAGATGATGACTCACCAAAATTCAGCTTTTGGCTGAAATTAGATTTGCAGCAAAAACGTTCTGGCTCATTATTCATTTCCCTGAGCTCCTGTACTGACAGCCTCACTCTACAAATGGCTTACTGGATGTTTTCAGTACCCTATTACCAGCTGATACGTGATTAGAACACCCCCACCAATGGAGGCGTCTTAAGACGAGAAGCATGAATGGGGCAATCAGAAGTTACAGATGCAGAGAGGTGGTACAAACCTTGATAGGAAGGGCTTAGTTGCCCTGCGGATTGATGGGTCCTTAGCAAGAATGGGAATGGTGGAGCAGTTCCGAATTAAGCAGGCTGTGATAACACTGTGGAATGGTTGGTATGAAAGCCTTTTCAATGGAACAAGGCTGTGTCTGATACAATCATCACCCCAGATGCTCCTTTCATACTAAGGCTGTTTTGCAGATGATCGGTCTAAAGTGAAGTTCTCACCATTGAATCGAGATCCCTTCTCAGACCTCGCCCATATCTGGTTCATTCCTGTGAGTCATTAGTTTCTCAGTTCTTTTCTGGTTTTAAGTTGTTACCCCAAACTGTTTCTGCTGTTTTGTGGAAGTGATCAACTGCTCATGCAAAATATATATGATTATCCTTAGGTTAACTTCCATGTTGATGTAAAATGCACATGTTCAAATTAATATTTTATAGATTAATTCATTTTTGTTACTTATTTTCATTGTGAATTCCAAAATCAAAACCAAAACCCAGACAACAAAGGGAAAAAATAAAATAAAAGATTGCCATTTTCTTATATGAGATTTAAGTATGTTACAATGATTACATAATTACTATGTATCTGTGCATTTATCTTACATAAAACAAGATGTGCTAATATTATTGGAGATGATTCTGCACAGACCTCAACAAAGGCAGTCCAACTATTCATACAAATCATCATACAAATATTCATATTCATCTACAAATCATGCCTTAAAACCACCAGTTTCATCAAGTTTTCTGTCCACTGTGGTATTGCAGATGGCCATTTATCCTTCCAGTGTTGTACTGTTAGACTTTTATCTGTCAAAAGGGTATGGAAAATTGATCTATGTTGACCTTGCATTAAGTTCTATGAGGCGGGCATTACCAAAACATTACCAAGACATGTGACTAAGAGAAATGTTAGTTTTACTGCACCTTCAACAACTGGCCAATTTAATTAAGCCCTTACTGAAAAGATGTTGTGGCAGCCAATATATTTGAAACATCATTTTTCTTGAATTAAACATACCCTAAGATCCACTATGCTTTCTCAAACCGATGCCAATGAAGCATTCCATCGACTGGACAAAAAGACTACTCTGACTACTTTAACCAATATAGCTGGCCAGTGTGGCTGTTCAGCCTCAGTCAATACTTCTAATAACAAAAGGGGTTCTGAAGCTGTGAAAATGAAGGGCCAGACCTAGATTTCAACTGTATGTATTTTAGTTCAGCCCTTGTGGGAAAATTATGTTTAGCATGCAAAACAGAGAATGGCAGAAAGTTATCAGTAGGCCATACCAGCTGATCCAAGTAAAAACCTGCATGTCCATTGAAGTCTTCCAAACAGATGCCTTCTTGCCAGTCTTTAAGTGTGGATTTCCTCAAAGATTTTATTTTCTATGTCAAAAATCAAATCACAGTTGAAGTGTAACTATGCATCATATCTCTTTTACTTCCATAACTATAGGATGCACACTATCTGTGTTGATGTAAAAGAACCCAATGCAATCCATTTAAGGACAGGGAGCAAGTATGAAAATTCCAAAACTGACCAGGGAGTGATGTGTTGCGGCACCGTTAAGAGTAACATATGACCCAGCTGGGTACCATTGATGCTACCATGGCATTCTGACAGAGGATATACAAATGCTAAACAATTAGAGTAGGAGATAGTAATTGGTGAGTTGTGGGACAACAGTGTAGGACACTGTCTCTGCAGGGGAGAAGAGCACAGATGCAGCTAATGTAATCTACCACTTAACTCCTGCAACTAAGGTACATTTTACTAGCAGTGCACCAAAGCTTAGACCAGGCTTGCCCTCTGCCTCTGCTATCCCTCCTCTTAATCTGCTGCAGCTTTTGTTCTTCCTGGCCAATTGTGCTTCTTTTTTCTGTTCTTTTTGGCAGGGCTGCAACTCAGCCAGGGACTATATAGCTATCGAAGGACCCAATAAGCTGGCCCTGGAGGAATTCTGGGGTCTGATCTGGGAACACGGAGTCCACACCATCATCACGCTGCTACCTGGGCAGACAAACAGCCTGGTAAGACAGTTGATGCACAGGTGCACAGCATGCTGGGGGCAGACTGCTCTGGAATGTTGACTCTCAGTGATGCAACAACAGCACAGAATCATGGGAGGAGTTCAGTTTGGCCCTTTGGGGTTGACAGGAATGCTACTGAGACATGGTTCTAGCTGCATACACATTGCTTTTCCCCATGTGGGACCCTCTGTAATGGGAGGCCCTGTCTGAAAGATGCAACCACACAGACAGAGCTGATGGCATGCAGCTTTCCCACACTGTCAGAGTCAGTAAGGTAGGGGGAAATCCATGTGTGTGGCCTGGACCCCAGGTTTGGGAGCTTTTACATATTACACAAGTTCAGATGGGTTTGCTTCCACACCAGTGCTTATGTGATGTTTAAAGGGCACCAGAGCCTCTCTCATACTTCTAAATGACATGGACAGCATGAGGCTGGAACTAGCCACCCACTCGCATCATGCTCTGCAGTGGTGCTCTGAATCCCATTCTTCCTCATTCCTCTCTTAGGCATCTCACAGGTTCTCATGCAGACCATCTCCTGTTCTTTGCTAGGTGCAATGTTTCGGAGTCACTGGCAATGGCTGTGCCGTCAGACTAGCTGAAGGCAGATGAATATGTAACCACAACCCTGACGTTTTTGCACAGGCTCCAGATGACACATGCTGGCCCTCAGAGGGTGCCCCCGTCTACACAGAGATGTTGACCATACAGCAAGGCCCGAAGAAGGTCGTTTCAGGATGGCCATGCGTTCAGCTGAGAATTAAATGCGTACGTGAGTTGGGAATGTCGGGAATGGTTGGGGAAGGTGGGATGCCAAGGGACCATGGACAGGGCTGCACAGAGGCCCTGTGGCCTAGAAGGCTGCTGGCAGAAGCAGAGTGAAGGCTTTGAGCAGGAGAGAGTCAGCACAGTCATGGACACGAACCGAGCTTCAAAAGTTCAGTTCAGAATGGGATACATTATAATTAATTGATTGATTCATTAATTAAGCAGTTTTGTTTCTATACTGCTTTCTGGGTGGTTTACAGTAAAGCTATTCATTTGGTGCTCAATATAATGTCATAGATGAGGGGATGCTGCTGCAATATCATTCAGAGGGTGTGTGTTGCAATGGGACTTACACCTTGTCAGGTAACATGTGCTTTTGCGTTGCACAGAATTCTTCTTTTCTGCATTGCTCTGCCAATCTGTTCTGCCCATGCACTTGCTTTATAATCACCAAGTGTCTGTTGCTTTGTCAAGGAGAAAAAGGCCAAGGAGAGAGTACTGCAACGGTTCCAGTTCCCTTTGGGGGAAGGAGAGGAGCTGCCAGCGCCTGAGATCTTGGTGGGATTTCTCGCCATGGTCAGGCAACTCGTGCCATATCGGAAGAGGAGCAGTCCCTTGGTCCTGCATTGCAGGTACGGTCGTGGCCTCCACCCTGGTCTCTCGCCCAACAAGCTTTTCCCTTGGGACTGGTGAGCACTGAAGCCAGCCCCGGAATGGGTGTTCCCAGATGGTTTCTTTGAATGTGAGTGACTGAAAAAAGTGGCCCATTGCTGTCCAGCTGATTGTTATTCTTCCTTTCCCAGTTCGGGAGGCGTTGGCCAGATGGGGGTGCTCCTTGCCCTGGACACCATGCTGCAGCAGCTGAAAGGAGAAAAAAGCGTGGATGTGTACGGTGTCGTCCTGAGACTAGTGAGGAGCTGCTGTCTCATGACTCCGACGCTGGTATGTCAGTGGCAAGGGGGCAGCTTCAGCAGTAGCAGAGAGTCCTACTCCAGCACTGGGTCAAGGCCAAGGGGCACTGTGCCCTCCTGGAGACCTGCCCTTCCCCAGTTTGCCCTGTTCTCCCTCTGAAGCCAGTCAAAGAGGACGTGGGTCCTTTCTTGTTTTCCCCAAGCCCTTTGGCAGTGGCCAGCCATGAGTGCCACTCAAGCTGTGACAGAAGAAGCAAAGAAACTTTGCCTGATGCTTCAGAGCATAATGCTTCATCAGGAGCATTTGAAGTGCGGCTTTTGCTTGTGACAGCAAGAGCAGGCTGATTGCCCTGGGTGAGGAGTGGGCAACCTGGGGCCCTCTGGTGTCACAACTCCCATCTTCCCTCACCACTGGCTATGCTGGCTGGGACTGACAGGAGATGTGTGGCTCTTTCAACATTTTGGCTTACAAGATGCCCACGGCTTCCCTAAGAATAACTAGTGACACCAATTATTTCTGGTCGTTAAAACACAAAATAACATCTCTGCTTTCAGTCAACAGTTCTTCTCATTCATGGGCAATTAAGTTCAATAATGCAAATCTTGATGTGGGCTTTAAATTCCTCGGAAAGGAATGTTATTGGAGTTATATTTTGGCACTATGTTTCTGTTAACGGTCCTTTCAGTTTTACTTGGATTTTTGTTATTGATTGCTAATAGTCACTACCACATGCTTATTCACAAACAATTCCAATTGAGTTCCATTGGATCTACCCTTAAGTAAGTCTGTCCAGAATTTCAGCCCTGGCAGGCTTCTACATTAATTTTTTCTGAGAGTTGTGACCACTAGAGGGCACTGTGCACAAGACCTTTTTGCTGGATTCCTGCACATACTAAATCCTCTCCGATTGAAAATTGCAACAGTGATGTACAATACAATTGTACTACATGGGTTTTGCACAATGTCACTGATGCTGGATACCACCTGCACACACGTGTCAATTATACATCTAAGCACAGAAGCCCTTGGCACAGAAGTCCTTGCTTTGTAAGCTCCAGTTGGGGAATTTAATGAGCCCCCTGATAACTAAGCTGTTTAATCATGGAAATGCTCAAATAAGTGACACAGTTGTTCCCAAATCTAATGCTTCTTGTAGCCACAGAAGAGCTGTAAGGATTTCACAGTGTGGCTTATCACCCCTAATGTTGCTTGCGTACTTTAGTAGCTTGATTTAGCTGCATATGCTTGCTCAGCTTGCTTATATGCATTTCTTTTTCCCTGTATGCTAATATGTCAAACAATGTGATTGGTAATCAGATCTGCAAATGTTGCTGTTCATGTTCTAGCCATCACTGGTATCTCTCATGTCTCTCTTTGTCTCTAGGATAAGTACATTTATCTCCATGAATGCATCCGTGACATGATCACCCAGAAGCAAATTTAGGCCTTAGTCTTTGCTGTGTTAGATGATGGATGAAATGCAAAGCACAGCAGGACTGAGGCCATCAATTGAATGGAGGTGTTCCTATGCAGACAGAGGCAGCTGCCCCAGAAGGCTCCTCTTAGTCTGTGCAAAGAGACAGCTAAGCAACAACAAGCCACCTGTGAAGTTCCTGTTTCCAGATTGCAAGGGATTTAACGTACTGACAGCAAACTCCAGAGCTTCAGGACAAGGGTGGCCATGCAAGAGCCATTTATTCTCATGCGGGGTGTACTGTTTGTGAGGGAAAAGACACACACACCCTTGTCGTCTTCTTTTCATCCTTGTTCAGTGATCATGGAACCTGGGAAACCCTGTACATGAACATAATTGTTGTGGAGCTCAGTAATGGATCAAGTGGACTTATAAAGTCATTACATGAATCTATGAAATGGTCACACTTAGGATAATTTGTGTAGCTCTTGAATTTTCATTCCCAAAAGAAATTAGTTGGGGAAGATGCAGAAAAGGGGAATGGACAAGACAGTCCTGCTTCTCTCCTCTCCATATTCTGGGTACTGCCTATGTGGTTCCTTCCAAGGTTGTGCAGTTATCACAGTTATGCCAGAATAACTGTGCTGCCACACTCACACATTCCCAGCTGCCAATTCAACTTTGGGATCCACCTGCACAGCAGGGCAGGATCCAATGCTGTCATTCTGCTGATGAAGCAGCTTCCATCAGAGGAATTGGGAGGAGTACAATTTATCCTTCTGGCTTTCACCCCCTGCAAAGCACACTCCAGGGGGCTGAGGAACCATCCAGAGAAGGTTTCCAGGTGGCCCAAAGGAAACCTTCCCCTTCAGGTGAAGGGAATCCTGCCATGCTAGCAGATGTCTCTTAGCAAGACAGTAGGTTCAAGTCTCGATCAGCACCCTGTTCTCATCTAGCTGACATGCAAAGGGTAGAATGGTCCTGAATAAGTAGGAGCATCTTCCCAGAAGTGCAACTAAAACTATAACAACTTCTGTATGGAAGAAGAAAAGTTAAACCGCTGGCAGCTTCTCAAGATAAACCAACAAGGTTTATGAAAGCTTTATAAAGTCACATAGCATGTGGAAGTAGGGAATAAAAAGAAGGAAAACATATTCAATTGGAACAGAAGAATCTAAGGAAATGGATAAAAACCTTGTTCCAAGAGAATTTCTTGTAATGCCTGTTTGCATAGATACTTTTAATAGATTAGATGAAATTAATAGAGGACAGGTTTATCCAGTGATGCAAGTGTTCAGGAGGGACTGGAAAAGATGACACAGAGGACAAGCAGTGGGTGGATATGACCATTTTGCCCTACTTGTGAATTTCCCAGTACATTTATTGTCTGGGATAAAAATGCTGAATTAAGTGGCCTATTGGTTTGATTCAGCAAGTTTCTATAACAGTTCTGTGTTTCATTTTCTACATTCAGCACTCAGCAAGAATAAGATCCATTAATTAGATCCATAATAATAATAATAATAATAATAATAATAATAATAATAATAATAATACCACTCACCACTATAATAAATAAATAATAATTTATGCCCCACCTTCACTCCTTCTATAAAGAACCCAGGGTGGCATACATGGTCCTTCTCCTTCCAACCAGTCTGTGAGGCAGGATAGACTGAGAATTTGCAAGTGGCCCAAAGTCACTCAATGGCTGAAGGGAGATCTGCTGAGTCAACACTCCAGCCCCTGTACCACATCGGCTCTCAGCACCCTCTGATTCTCATCACTCCTGCCTTCCCTGGAACTTGCTTCCTGCTTCTCAAAGCCAAGCTACATTTTCCACTAACATGTAACAGGCAAGCATGTGCAGCTGATTTGGGTCAGGACCACCATGCACTGGGAGAGAACAAAGAGTAAACATTTGCCCCACTTTTTTCCCTGCAATTCCCCCCCCCCCCACATGTGCTTGTGCAGGTATGTGGGTAACAAAAGTGGTGGAAAGCTCCCACTGGCTTCCAATCAGCTCCTATACTCAGGTTGGCCCTGTAGTGAAGCTGCCTGGCAAAGCTACTTGCAGGGAGAGTTCAGCCACACCATGGAGCCTGCCATTCCACGGGCTTTCACTCTGGAGCTCCACAGTACTAGACACAGCCATTTGGGAACTGTCCCAGCTGAAGTTCCCATGCTGCTCTGGGAAATGTGCCTTTTGATCTCATCGAACCCAATTCTTCCTATTTTGCTTTGGCCACTTCACTGGCTCGCCCTTCCACCCCATTTGTAAGATGGGGTTGAAGGGTGAGCCAGAAGAAATGTATTATCATACATGGGAATGCGTTTCCCCAGGTTCTCTGAAGCAGAGATAAGGTGGAAAGTAGTTTTATAATAATAAATTATTCTTTAAAAATAATACAATGTCTGGTGTTCTATTTTTGCTGGCTTCATCTGCTATTATTTTGCTACCATAGAAAACCTTAGCCATAAATTGAAGCAGTGCTCCACTAGAGGGCAGTGCAGCAAATCATTACCCAATAGGGTGGGTCCGTGAAGGACAGGGCATTTTGGAGGGCATTTGTGCATAGGGTCACCATGCATTGAATATGATGGTGCATTGCAACAACAAAGCGCAGACCTCCCTGTCCTAGGCTGGGAAAGGCTGGGATGGGGCCCTTCAAAAGGACAGGCTGGAAAAGATACACCAGCTGCCTGGAGAGGCAGAGGGCTCTCCCACACGAGAGACATGCGAAGAGAAACTGGGCAGCCATCTGAGTGGCCTGGTGTAACTTGCTGTCCTGCAACAGCAGGGGGCTGGACCAGGTGGCCTTCATGGCACCATTCTATGAAAAGATAAGAGATTGTGAGCTGCAAGGTTTTAGAACCAATGCATTTGTATACAGCAGGTATAGATTTATGAGACCAGCTGGTATCTTGGGAGTGTGGATTGAATGGGTCTGGCAAGAAGGCAACACATGTTGGAACTCTGAAAATATCATATTATGTTGTGAGGATCCTGTACACTGCCATAAGTCCCTGGCAGAAAAGGCAGGGTGTAAGCATAAATAATAGCAAAAAAACCAACACAATCAATGAAAACCATCATGTGCATTTATGTTGCTTTATGTCTTTTACATAAAGTTGATCAAAAAGCAAATGTTTGATACAATTGACAAAACAAGGGGACATATTTCCTCTATATTCACTTCAACAGAGCTGTTTTAATCTAGTTCTGAAAAATAATGTTAATATGCCCAAAAGAGTGTGACTAGTTTTGCTGTTTATCTTGGTCCAGATTTCAGGCAAAGAACAAAAAATACCAGGTGTAGAAGACCCATGAGAAAAACCAGATCATTTTCAAACAATGCCAAATGAAATGATTTCTAATACAACAAAATTCAGATACTTAATACAGCAGCCTCCTCCAAACTGGCCTCCTCCAGATGTTTTGGACCACAGCTCCCAGCATCCCTGGCTATTGGACATGCTGGCTGGGGCACAAGTCTAAAACACCTGGAAGGCACCAGGCCGAGGAAAGCCATAAGGCAGTCTATGTCCTCATGGCTCTGCTTGACTAATGGTCTTGCTAACCTCTCCAGTCTCTCACAAATTGTACAGTCATTTCCCACATGTTAAGTGGGATTCCCAGGCCTATATCCTACTCAAAAACTACACTGGTGTGGATGTCCAGCGGTCTTGGAGGTGCATAATAAGTTGGGCTGGAAGGTCCACTCTCACCCCCTTAAATTATGAGGAGGGAGGCGACTGGAGAGCATCTGATCCAGTTCAAGGTACATCTCCTGTGTCTATGACTGGCAAAGAAGACATCCATCACACTCTGAACTGGAGCAGGATTCATGTGTGAACCAATAACACTTTATATGCTGGTTGCTATTACTCCCAGTTCATCTACAGTCATGTCTGTTTTCCATTCTGGCTTAAACATTTACCAGGGACAATAAAACCAGTATCTTTTCATTGTTTTAAATAGTTGGAATTATTTGCTTACATAGATTGGGTCTCTGACCTGTTTATTTATTTAATATGTTTCTGTTAATGGAGATGTACAACCATTCAAGCCTGTTACGAGCCAGTGTGTGTGGGGGATACACAACTCTTATTTGAAATCAATAAATGAAAGCAGAAAGAAAGGACCAAAGGTGTGATGTGCATCAATTACTAAGAGAGAAAGCATTGCTACTCTAATTTGTTCATAACTAGAAGCAGTAGGTTGGGTAGGTTGCTAGGTACACCCTGAAATAAAAAGGAACACGTGTTTCCCTATAGTTTGCGCATAGATTGAGATGATACAGGATAATATAGTGTGGCAGCCTAACAGGAGAATAGCTGCACAACTCCTGTCAGCTCAAACAAAGGCCACATGAGGACACTTTAAGTTGGAACATGTAGACCCAGGGGAGGCCTTCCAGATGCGTTGAATGGCGACTCCCATAATTCCTTAGCATTAGCCGTGCTGGCTGTGGGTGATGGTAGGTGTAGAACTGTCAAGTATCCACTAGACTCCCACAAAATCAATAAAAGCTTTAGGGGTTCGTTATGATTTGATGCAACCAGCTTGTTTCCAACAACATGTGCAAGCTTACAGCAGGCTTAGAGGGCTCCAGGAAACCTGTGTCTTTCTTGGCATCTCTCTGGCCCTCCCTGCAACATTCCACTCCCCAGAGGCAGAAGACAGCACCCACAGCTCCTGCACTAAGAGTGTGAGGGAAATGCTGAAGCACCCTGTACTGCTGGCACTTCTATGCAGGGCACCTGCTCCCTTCTTCTGGCCTCCTTTTCCCTGGCTATTTGGCATAATTGGTGAGGGCTGTCAGCGTGGATGGTCTCTCCTGACTGGAGCTACATGATTTCCTTTCCCTTTTCATTCCAGAGCTATGATTATGTGCTCCACCCATTTAAAGTGCGTGTGTGTTGGGGGGGGGGAGCTGAACTGGAGCCCCACTGGGTATGATTAAAGCAGAAAGCAGAGGCCACTGTGGTGATGCTGAAACCTTATGATTAAAGGTCCCATGTCATGGCTGAAAGCAGGTAAGGCTGGGTCAACCCTCTTTTGGGAAGCCACCTTGCAATTTATCACAAGGAGGAAGACAACTCAGATATGAGGGCACCATCCAGATGTTGCACATCTGCCAAGAAGGCAACCCCTACTTTCATCTCCTATCACCATCACCACTATCATCACACACACCTTAGCTTCTGTAGCTGCTTTGCAGACAAAGCAGGTAGGTGGAAGGCTCACTACTCAGAGTATGTCTTAGATTTCTGCCTTTACCAGCAACTTGAGCTGGCAGGTGTCGCCAGGAAATGGCAGACCAGAGGAGCAAGGCAGAGTTCAGCCACTCTCCTATCCATAGCCCCAGTCTTGCAGCCACACAGCAACTGGGGTTGCTACTAGCTTTACTGCCAGTCCCTGCTCTTGTGCTCTTTCCCAGAAAGCTGACGAACAGGCATGTAGCAGGATTTCCACACAGCACTAGCGCTGGTGTCAAGGCTAGGCATGGCCGGGCACACGCTGAGCCCCCCGACTCCAGCAATGGCCCACTGGCAACACCCTAGACTTTCCTCTTCTTTCCCACAGTGACTTGCTCACCCCCCTGCCTCTCTCCTCTCTCTGGGCCCCAACAGCGGTGGTGGTGGGAAGCAGGAGCAGCAGATGCCCCTTTCTACTTGCCCCCCCAGCTCTCGGCCCACCAAGCAATCACGTGGCAGCAATGAGGAGAAAGGGGAGGAGGAGCAAGAGTAGCTCCGACCAAGGTGGAGAGAAAGAAAGGCTCAATGAATGACCAAGGGGGGACATGGAGGGCACCTCGCCCAAGACCCTTGGAAGCTGGAAACAGCATTGCCCAACACAGAAATTGATTGACAGATGGTGCTTGCCCTGTTTCCAGTGCTTGTTAAGAGCTAGAGAGGCAACAGCCTATGACCTTAGGCAGCAGAAGCAAGGTGGAGCAATAAGCTGGTCACTTATGAATCACCAGAGAGAGGATTAAAGAGGGTTACATAAAATTTGCACATGTTGACATACGAGTATAGTTGCAAACATAGAAGTAATTATTCTAATTTAAATAGCAATACGGTACATCCTACCATAGTGCAGAAGACTGTGGTCAGGTGCTCTGCCTACCCAGTTGGTCTGATGTTCAGCTTTGAACAGCTGCTGGACAACATTTCTGTAGAGTCTTTCTCTTTAAAAGGCATCAGATAGGACAGACCTCAGCCCTTCACAAAGAGTTCTGTTCTCTCTCAGAGCTTCTACAGAGGTTGTTGTGAAAAATGAAAGGGTAGGGATGATAAATCCCTAATTTATCCTTGTAAATTAAAAGTCCTACAGAAATTATGCATAATCCATTTGCCTGCATTGCACAGTCAGAAATTCAGTATGTAAAGCTTTTGCTGGCAGGGAGATTGTTGATGGAGAAAGCAGAACAGACTTTCAAGGACTCAGAACTTCTCTCAAAAGGCAGTGGTTTCCATTAGCACAGATAAGACGAAAGGACTGGATGGGGCTGGCACCAGGAGTCAGCATGGGCAGGCAACTGCCAAGGACTCAGGGACTCAGAAGAGCCCGGTTGTTGACAATACCCTGCTACAGTCAAAATGGTGTCCGGTCCTCCGCTTTCTGCCTGCTTGCCCTGCCCAGCAATGAAAGCATTGTAAGCATTGCAATTAAAAGGCCCACACCTTGCCATTTGAAAACAGAACTGATTCATCTTTGTGAAAGCCAAGTAGCAATCCATACCAATCAGATGCAATTTTGTTCAAAGATGTGGATTTAGACTCCTTATATTATTGATCTTTCCTTATATCATTGGGCTTATTTGCAATTGGGCTTATTCAAAAATTGTCAAGAAAATGTTTATTTTTTATTTATATTTGACCTTTTCCCCTTCCCTGGAACTCAAAGAGATTTTTATCATTCTCCTCCTGCTCTCAGTCTTATCCCCATAACAACAACCCTGTGAGGTAGGTTGGGCTGAGAGTCTGTGACTGGCCCAAAGTCACCCAGTTGGCTCCATGGCTGAGCGGGGACTAGAACCCAGATCACCGGAGTCCCCATCCCATGCTCTTAACCACTATGCCACACTGGCTTTTGTTTGGTGGTTTCATTATGGGCTGATGTTTATGCTGAACCAGCTTGTGGGCCCTGACGATCATTTTCTTTCATTTTCGACTTGGTGTGATAAATATAAGTTGCATGGCAATATATAGAACTGAATCATCTGTTCGAATGCAGGTTTGGTCCTGCAGCATTTACACCTTCAGAGTTGCCTGTGTTATTGGAAGCACTGGCTGAGGCAAAACAGCTACATAGGCCTACAGTTCATGGGGATAAATGTCTATTATGGGTGAATAATATGCTACACAGGGTTGCAGCCAAGAATGGGAACTGGAGCACCCTTCTTTCCCAGTCAATGGGTCTTAATTATTTTCAGTTCACAAGGGGTCATGGATCTTAGGCTACACTTAATATAACAACAGTTGATACTTTAAGTATACTGGATTCAACAATGTATTTTTGATAAATTGGCCACTGGTTGGAGGTATTCTGCTGCTAATGATCCTCCTCTACATTTGTTTTGGCAATACCCAATGACAGCTTCCTTTGGGAAGGAGGTAATCATTCCGATAAATCTTGCCATGTTTAATATTTGAGGATACACATGTTCTTTTGAATTATTTCTTGGAAATTAATGCAAGGTTGATGGAAATGGATTTTCCATGCCCTTTTGACTGCTAAAAGACTAATAGGACAACACTGGAAATGGCCTCCAGAAATAACACAATTGTTGGAGGTTTTAATGAAAATTTCAGTTTGTCAGAAGGTGGCCTATGGGTAAAATCTACGAATAGACAAATATATGTATATGTAGGGTATCTTTGCTGAAGTCCACACATAATTATTTCTAATTATGGAAAAATGTTCTTTTGTATACCAACATCTAAATATATATAATTTATGTGCAATTAGTGCTATGGAACTTTTTACATTTTATGCATTTATTAAACATTGTAATATTCCCATTTTGTTCCTTTTCCCTCTCCTTCTTTAATGGTGTGGATTGGGTTTTTTAATGTATTGCAAAATAACTAAAAGGAGAGGGAGAGACATTACCTTGTGAGGTGGCCAATGATGGTGCAGGAGCAGCAAAAAACCACCCCTTTGCCTGTTTGACACCCTCCTGGCCAACAGCCCAAAGGCAGCATCTAATGGGTCCACAATGCAGCTACTTGAACTCAAACTTCAAAGAATGTCCTCTTTAAAATGACAGGGTGCAGGTCGGAAGACTCACTTAGCCAGCCACCTCCTAGAAGAGCACTGGAAGAGCCGCAGTTGCCCTGACAGCCCCCTCAGGTTGAAAAAAAGAGGAGGGGAGGGACAGCTGCCAAATGTGATGGTGGCAATAGCTGGGGGTGCCCAGGTGATGCGTAAATGGGATGAAGTCCCATCTGTAGCACTTTGGGAAAGGCCTGGTGGTGGCGGGTTCTGGCCCGAGCTTTGCAATGCTAGCTTTGAAATGCAACCTACATCAAAAAAATGCAAGTGATACAAATCTAGGAAGGGCCTAGATTTGGACTGCAAGCCTGGAGCCCTTCTGGTATTAAAGTTCTCATTTTTGTTTGAGCAAAAGTGGGGTAGCAAGATGGCCACAACACCTCATGGCCATTCTAAACATTTTCGGAAGGTTAGTAGTCAGTGACCTGCCCTTCCAGGGTTACCAATGAACCAGGAGAACAAAGAACAGTGGCTCTTTGAAGGCAGTGTGATCTGGAGAAATCAGCACATTGCACAATTCACAGTGCAGATGTGTAAACACTTTATAATGGCTGCATACCAAGCAGTTGTTGTAGGCAGATGAAAGACATCCTGGCTAATCATCACACTATATTATTTGCTGCAAGGGAAACCTCGCTTCCAGGGCCTACAGTCGTCCCCACAGCTTCCTTTTTTGCTGCCAAGCAAAAAAGTGCAAGTAAGTAAGTGCAAGCGCACATGTGCTCTTCCATTAGCAGCAGAAATGGAATAACAGCAAAATCGCATCATGACTTCATGACTGCAAGGAGTGTGCTTGCCCAGCACTCTACAAAGGGGGAGGATCTCTTCTACTATTTTCTTATTTCTTATTTGTTGTTTTCACTGTGCCAACTGGCTGGAAGATCACTGTCCTTGCCCTCTCCCCCTGCTCTCCTTACAGAGTAGCTCTTGACTGGATGACTCTTGGATGTACTCAGCAGAGGCTAGTAGGTCCAGTTTCAGCTGGGCTCTGTATCCATTCCAGATATTGCTCTGAATTTTCAAGGAACTATCCACAGTACTGAACACATCGGGTATTGGCTTTCAGTACCATGGAAAGCTCCTTCCAAGTTAATGGTATATTTCATGGTGCGCAGGCCCACTGACATTGGAGCTGCCAGCCCTCACTGTGCTTGGCGTAGTTTATTGGCATTGTGCTGACCTCCCCCCGCCCTCCAGGCTCAATACCTAGTTTGGTTCTGGAAAGAGCAACATGTGAAATTGCTAGGAATGTTGTCAGTAAGTTGCTGGACAGTAGAGAGGCACAGGGGCTGCAGTGAGCGTAGGCTTCCTCCTTGACCAACTTCAAGGGGATTGCTTCTTGTAACTGCTGAAACATGCAAATGCTGGCCAACAAACCAATCAGGGCACCATCAGATTGGCCAAACAAAGCCTTTGTGAGAAAAATCAGTGATTTCCTGGAGCCAGAGCTGACAAGGACGTCACCCTGGCACACTGATATCATCTCCTGCCCTGCTCAAAATTCCTTGTTCTGGCTCAGCTTAGCTACAATCCTCACAGAACTGGGCAAAAATGAACGTATTATCCCTTGTATTTTGGGATGACTTGGTCTTCAATGGGTAATTAAGGCCATTATCTTTATAAAGGACTATTTCTGGTGAAGATGAAAGCTGCTAGAACTGGTTTGTTGATGTGGATCAACACAGCTGCCTGCAATTTTGGACTCTCCCTGAGGGTGTCTATCATGAGGAGCACCTGCACGTCAAAATTTACTGAGAATTTACTGCACCACTGGGAAATATTCCCCAATCCTGAACCATCCCCATTTCCCAGAAGCACAACCTGAGCTCCCTTGATGACTCATAGTGCATAAATTAAGCTTGTTTGCACCACACCTCCAGTTAAAAGCCTTCTTTAGTTCCATGATTATTATTACACGGGTAGTACACACGCAAGTCACATGTGTGCATGAATGAGAACACGTGGCAACATTCCCTGGGAAGATTCCCCATTCCAAATATGAGTATTGCTAACAGCAGGGCCCCTGCATTGACAAGAAACAGGTTGGCCATCCTAAGGATCAGAGTGAAAGATTTAGCCAGGGGATTTGAAACATATGGTTCTTAGATTGCAACTCCCATCAGCCCCCATTGGCTATGCTGGTCAGGACTGATGGAGCTGCAGTTCAGCAACATCTGGTCTCTGACACTTTCCCCACCTCTGACTTCGCCTATAAAAGGAGCAGAAAGGTTTATTTGAGTTCAGAGAGAGATGCAATTGAATGTTCTTTTTAAAAAAAGAGGCTGGAATGTGTGTGGTTTAGGCCACCACTGGTCCGTGACCTTCTGAGCCATCTTGGGCCATGCGCAGGCCTGGCATGTGTTTGTATTGCCATGGGTTTGTGTTTACATCCTGGAATGCCTCCAGGAGTCATTGACTGGGGCTGCCTGTGGCATTGCAAACCTTGGATGGCTCTGCTGGGAGCAGTCGATCAGGGGCTCTTTCCATCCTTCTTTGGTCCTGCAAATGGCTCTCTTGTGGCTTTCGCAAAGCCACATAGAGCACAAGCACATAAACAAATCCTCAGGCATCTGGCTCCCCTCTCTCTCTGTCCATATCACTTATCTACAGTTTTGCCATAGAACCCGAAGGAGAAGCCCTAAAAGAGCAAAGAAAACAAGACAGTGCTCCTGCCCTATGCATTTGAGATGCTGAGAACATGAAGCATCCCACCAAGCCATGGGAATGTGAGCCACAACATCACAAGAGTCCTCAGAAGAAAGCAGGAGCAGGAAATACCTTAAGGATCAGGTAGGGGAGGTTCCATCAACCTGTGCACAAACCAAGGCTGCAGCCTGAACTCAGGAGACACATCTAAAGCGCCCACAGCAAGGTGTAATTGAACAAGACAGCTGAGGACAACAGCCACAGGAGCCAAGGAGACCACAATCAAGAGCAAACACCCAGCACCTTGTTTTATCCCTGCCAGCCATCTGGAAAATGTTTTACATCTCAGCATTGTGCCACCTCGGTTACAAGGCTGTGGCAGTGAACACACACACACACACACAATCAGGGCACAGAAAGTTGCACAAGAAAAGAAGATCACCACCTGGAACTCCATCTAATATGTTGTCCCAGGAGAGTACCCAGTGGAGGTGCTAAGGAAAGAGTTGTTTTGCAGAGTCAAGCAGCAGAGAAGTACATACAGCTCAGGAGTGCTTCCTGAGAAGGTGCCCTGCCTCATTCACAGAACTGTGTGGCCCTTTTGTGATGGGATGGGGATACAGACATTGTCAACTTCCATTTGTTACTATCCTGTGTTTTCCTATCCTTTCTTCTGCCCCTTTTTCTTACCAGGAAAACAATTCTGTTAAGGAAGAAAAGATGGAGAAGCCACCCAGTGCTTTTTTACTAATGACACTATCACAGAAGCAGATGGAATGAGGGTCAATGAACTGCAGCTAAAAGGCAAGCTCTGGTGGCCAGTTGTTCATCTGCCTAGGGAGGTGGTGTTCACCCTAGTCCAGACAGGGTTGCATTAAAGCAGGGGTGGAGAATGTGTGCCCCTCCAGATGTTGTTGGAGTACAACCCCCATCAGCCTGGTCTGCATAGCAAATGGGGATAATGGGAGTTGTACTCCAAGACTATCTGGACGGCCACCTGCTCCCTATCCCTGCACTAGAGGATCAGGTTTATAGTCTATTTATCAGGTATTGTTATACCCAGCCTCATCTTTGGAGGGCCAGTTTGTTTCTGTGGCTCAAGGTACCATCAGGGGAATGCAGTAGCCCAGCGATGGCCCCTTTTAGACAGAAAGTGCTTGTCTGTCTGTATGTCTGTCTGTTTATTACTCTAGTGTGTGTGAAAGCAGGATTCACACTGGAACCAATAATGTTCAACCATTTCCCCCATTTCCCCATCTCTACAGGTGGAAGATTTAAGCCAAGAAAAAGTATCTCCACAGGTATCAATTGCTCAGGCACTTCTCATGTTGCCCACTGGGTGACATATATTTTATCTTTTTTCAGTAATTTATTTTTATTTAAGACTTTTTTAGACCGTCCCTTACTGAAGTCTCAGGATGGTTTCACAGTAAGACAAAACATAAAAACAAAACACAGTATTCTGTGTCTCTTCAATAACACAGCAGTAATGAGTGTTTCTTCCTGGGAGCTGGGGTCACTTTGAAAGAGAGGGCCTCTGGTTGCTCCTGCCTCCTTTTCCCAAGCTCCAGGCCTACACACAGGCTCACAGACTTACTTAGAAAATCAAAATGGTAAGAGGCTACAGACTGATGCTTCCATCAGAAGTACATTGTTTTTGTAGTGGTAGGTGAGTAGAAATTTTCTGCAATTTCCATCAGCTCCTGGCAGCATGGTCCATGCTGAAGGATGATGGGGTATGTAGTCCAACAAATCCAGAGGGTACAAGACTGGGGAAGGCTTTCCCAGTGTTTAAACATTTAAAGTGAAAATCAAAGAGATACAGTTCTATTCTGCACATATTTTCTGATCTTCCTTCCCTTCCCAAAGTGTGGCCACCGACACATCACAAAACCCCACGCCACTCCTTGCAGATATACACACCATGATAACAAATACCCGCAGACTTTTGTCTTCAGAACATCAATATCTGCAGAGAAGACTGGCATATTGGGGGTGGGGGGGTCGTATGTGACCCTTTGCCCACAAGGCTTTTTAAAGCCCCTTATGTGCAGGTCACATCAATGCATGCAGCTCTATGGTAAAGAGATATAACTCTGCATAACAAACCACAGTCCACTCTTTTCCTTCCTCATTGGATTGGATTTGCAGCCCTCTGGACTTTTGGGATCAGGCAAAGTATCTCCCTCCCAGAGGGGTGGGCAACATCAGGCCCATGAGCCATGTCTAGCCCACTTGGCATTCCAGTCTGGCCCTTGGGCTCCCCAGACTGCTAAACCCCCCTTTTGACCACTCCCATTCTTCCTGACAGCAAATCATTGGTGGTTTCCTGGCTTTTGTTCAGTTCCCCTCAATTCTAAGGCTTAGTAACTGGCAACAAGATTTTAAGCTGAAATATGCTAGCATTTTGCCCTGTTTACCTTTGACCTGTCCAGCAGCAGAATACACCCTCCTTGCCCCTGCTTTGCCAAAACTGAATTTAGTCCTCAGGCCAAAAGGGAATCCCCACCTCTGTTGCCTGATGTTGGCACAAGGTTCAAAAAGATGGGCATATTTTGGATTCCAGAAGAAAGAAGCTTGCAAAGAAGAAACATATGATTGATTGTGAACAGCAGCCCAGAGACAACGTGGAGCAGACTGTGGCTCAGACACCACTCAAGCATGGGTTGAGTGTGAGTCGTTGTCGAAATGTGGGTTCTGTTGTCTGAATGCAGCCAAGATAACAAATCATGGTGAATAATCCACAGTTTTCAAGCCAACAACAAACCATAGCTTAATATGGCTGTGAGGACAGCTGGCTTAAAATGGCTAACATGGTTTGTGAGGGCAGTTGGGTTCAGATAGCATAATAACCCATGTTTCAACAACAACCCATGGTTCAGTGACAACCCACACTCAGTCGTTGCTCATCCACTGAGTGTGGGTTATCCCTTGTCTAAACTCCAACTGTCCTTGTTCAAGGATAGGCTAGACATGCATATGGTAGGCATGTCATGAGCAGAGCCAGCTGGAGCTGGGGGTCAGACTAGATGGCCCGGGAGACCCCTTCTGACTTGCTCTGCTTCTGTGTTTCTATATGTGAGTTGCAGATTTGGTGGGTGGGGAAGATCAGTGGGACCACAATTCAGACCAAGAGGTTGGACAAAAAAGGAAGGTGCTCCCAGGCCTAATGCAAAGCTACGCAACTACTTCAGCCAGGGAGCCAAACCCATTTGGAGAACCTCTTCAGGGCCATATTCCAGGGGTGGCCTGTGCCAAAGACAAAAGGGGACATGCCCAAGTATCAAATACACCTGCACATCTTAGCCAAAGCTCCTACTGCCAGTAACTGAAGCCTTAGAAGAGACATTTCAGCCATTTAGAATGGGGGAAAAGACCTGTGCAACAGCCAGTAATCCACTAAACAGGTAGCGGTTGGGGGGAAGTGGGTGGGGCCAAGAGAAGAAAGCAGGTCTTCTGGGGGGGGCGGTCCCAGGGGGCTACATAAGGACTACACTTGGTCTGAATTTGGCACCAGGGCCAAACATTTTTTTATACCCCGGCCTATCAGGGCTGGAGAGGATTAAAATTAGGCAAGTAAACCAGCAGGTGTTTGTGAGAGTAGGTTAATAATTGTGATGACAAGTAAAAGAATGCAGAAAAAGGTAAATGCAGGAAGTAGTTTAATTAAAAATTCATGGAAATGAATCTCTTGGCTGCACGGCTGAGTTACCTCCTTCACTGATTGTTCAAGCTGTTGCTTGTTCATGTTTTCTTCACTGTTCAGAAGGAAACTGGCATTTAATTAGAGTCTTTTAGATCAATCATGAATATCACTTCCCTCTAAACTTTCTAACTTACCTGTATTTGGGCTGTCTATTTCCTGGCCTCGGACTTAGTCAGAAGGTGCTTCCTCTGGTTCTTTAAAGATGCTGCAATGTAGTTGAAGAACCCATATAACAGTCTGCATTCAAATGGAGAACAACCTTGCCAGAGGACCCCAGGTTTCTCCGGGACCTTGGCAAGACACCAGGGGTGTGGGGCCCTCTCTCCCAGATTCTGCCTTCTTACCACCTCTTCTTGCTGCTCACCCTCTTTCTCATCGTGGTATCACTGGCTCTCTTGAGGGCAGTCAGCAAGTAGGCAGAAGGCATCTCCTGCTCCTCCTTCCCACCAGCACTGCTTGGGCCAGAGCAAGAGGCAGCAAACAGGGCAGGTAAAGATGGAAGGCAACTCCAAGGGGCTCTTGTCCTGCTGGCCCTCGCTGTGTGCCTGACTAAGCCGACCTCTGACACTGGCACTACAGCCAAGGGCTCTGTGGCAACATGGAAGAACAGCCATTTTATGGTAACGGGACTAGAACGCGTTTTGCCAGATGCACAAAATGTTCTCTCCAGCTGACAGATGGATATGCACTGGCTTTCCCCAACCTGGTGTCCTCCAGATGTTTTGGACTACAAGCCCCCAAATTCCTGGCCAAGGGCCAGGGTGGTCAAGGTGGATGGAATATGAAGTCCAAAATATCAGGACTACACCAGACTGGGGAAGGCTGACATCCACAGATACAGAGGCTTGGAATGTAAATAGAATGACCAAAAGGCTGTAAAATGGACAGGGTAGCAGTGAGCCTGTGACATTTCGCTGTTTTTCTCCAAAAAGCATTCCTTCTGTGTACCTGCTAGTTTTTTTTTCTCTCTCTCTCTCCTAAAAATGTTTCCAAACAAGTTCTTGAGCTACTAACAGGTCTCTCTCACTCCCCCCTCCACCTTCCTTTTGAATGAAATTCCTGCCAGCTTTGAAAGAGGGAGAGGGAGTTAGGAGAAAGTTTCTCCGACTCCTCCCATGTGAGTCTAACGCCCAGCCCAGCCCAGCCCAGCCCGTGTGAAACCCAATAACCAAGATCATTCAACAATGCTTCCCCTTCACTGGCTGCATCCTTGCCACACCAAGGAAGAGTACGGGAGATCCAGAGGGTGCTGTCCGGGGGAGCTCTAGGACCCTTATTCCCCACATACACTGATTTCAGTAGCAAAGATCAGAAGGAGGCCAAGCCGGGGAAGGCAGACGCACGCACGGCAGGCTGGCTCCAGCTGGAGTAAGAATGGACCGGCCGTTGCCCTGGTGGCTTTTCCTAGCCTCTTCGGGCATTCTCCAAAGTGTGTCTCTGGAACAGGGGGCCGTGCCCTCCTGTCCATCTCTGTGCCACTGTGAGGAAGATGGCATCATGCTGTCTGTGGACTGCTCCGAACTGGCTCTTTCTTCTGTTCCTGATGGCCTGAGTCCCTTAACAGCCTACCTGTAAGTACAAAGCTGTCATGTGTGCTGAGTTGCTTCCCTTGGTGACAGAGAGTGTGGGAGGGAGGGAGGGAGAGTTGGGAGATGCATGGGAGACAGAGTTGCCTGCCTGCTATCTTTATGCCACATTTGGTTAAAAATAGAAGTTTCCTCTTGCAAATTAAAACCAAGAATAACTAAGAAAGAAGACAACTATTATGACAGCAGAGCTGTTTTCTCTTCTCTTCTCTTCTCTTCTCTTCTCTTCTCTTCTCTTCTCTTCTCTCCCCCCCCCCCCGCCCCCCTTGTGGTCCTCTAGAAAGCCTGTTTATATTGTGATGTTCTGCATGCTTTACTTCTTGATTGCTATGGATCAGAGGAGACAGAGCTTGTTTGCTGGGCTGATTCTGATTGTTTGGGAGCATAATGGTGTATTTATACTGAGTAATTATTGCAAACTGCTATGGGATCCCTCTTTCAAACATTTCAAGAGGCAGGGATAACTTAGGGCTTCACAGGCTCAGGGAACGTCAGGATCCAGCTTGTTCCCAGTGAACTGAAAAGTTAAGTGAACTTTGGAGATGGGGGACAAATTCCAGCTCTGCTAATGATGAAAGCTAAAAGAAGATTTAATGCCTGGCTTCCAAACAGCACCCAGAAGTCTCATGTTTGGTCTCAGGAAGGTCTTCTCTTTGGAGAAAAATTTATTCCCTTATCTGTGTCTGGAGAATGCCTTGGCAAGCCGATGGGTTGCCTCCTGCATGCTGCTTCCCGACCTCTCAGGAGTGGACCTTTTTCTTTGAATCAGTGACTCTTATCCTGTGTATGAAAGGCATTTTGTATATTTAAACACAGCAAGTTTAACAAATAGAAAATGGTCCTGCACTGAAACAGTGATGGAAAGGATTGTGCTTTGCTGCTGCTTCTTTTTAAATGCATGGAGGCCATGCTGGATGGTTTGGGAGGGATGCCCAAAACCCCACTGAAAATTATGCAGGACACTGAGGAGGTTCATGTTTGTCCCTTCACACTAAGTAGTGCTTATTGGCCAGTAGGTCTAGTGCTTCGAGCAGAGAAGGTGGCAAAGGACGTACCTTGGAGTCCAGTTGTGTTCCTTCCAAGGAGATCCCTTGTCTGCCATCTGTCTCCTAAGCTGGGAAGAGTCTTTAAAGGGAATATAATGGACTCAGCCTGATATATTCTGTGCCATGTTCAAAGTGGTTGTATCCCATGCTCTCTTCAGTGCCCCATCCCGAACCTTGTTCTATGACAGTGAAAGAGGCCCATGCAACACCATGTTAACCCCCCTAGAAAGAGTGAGTTGGAAAAGAAAGATGAGACCTTTTTAGAGGGGTGCTTTTTTGCTAACTGGGGAGCATGACACACATGGGATCCTGCTAGAATAAATTGTACACACCTTGAGGATATTGGCCTTGTGCAGTAATTCATATCCAGAGGTTCTCTGAAAAAAAGTTTGGCTAAAGCAGTAACTCCACTGAGGAGGTAAAGACTGTGGCAGGTGGTGGGGGGAGGTGGTATCAAGCTGTTAAAGATAAGAAACAAGGCTGAAGTCAGTTCCTAGTTGTTTCATGTGATACAGAGCTTCATAAGCATCCTGAATAAAGATCTAACAAGCATGTGCTCCTACTCCTTCACCCTGCCCCCCCCCCAAAAAAACAAGCTATAGAGTATCCCTCCATGACTGGGAGCCTGAGATGCAGCAGCTTCCCTCTGTTCCAACATGCTGTTTTTGCATGGGATGCCCTCCAGCCGCACTTAGGAAAAGTATGATGGGCTGTAAGGGCGGTCTCTTGCAGCAGTCTACTGTATCATTTGATATATGGTGCTAGCCTAAAATGCAGTGTCAGGGGATCCATTCTGCCTCTTTCATTATCTTCTTGCATCAGAAGTGTGCCTCCTATCTTTTAAAGCTCTAGAGAAACTTTCCCCCTAGGTCTTATTCAGGTGTAGATCTGGGTGAAAGTCCAGACCTCCATTCTCACCCCTCCATCTTTTTACCTTGTAGCAGCTGCTGCCATAGATCAGCACCCCCTTTATGGCCAGCGACAAATGTCCGGTTTGTCCACTGCTGAACTAATGCAGCATTTTGCTCCTGGAATCTCGGCTGCGAGGTCATCACAAACAACCCCCTGTGCTGAGACTCGAGTAGATACACGTGAGCTCCATGTAGGGCAGTCCCACATAAGGTCAGAATGGGAATGGAAGTGTCTGGACATGGTTTGTCTCACCATGCAGGAAGTCACAACTACACAGTGCAAGGCTGGGGAGTGCAAGGCAAACGTGCATTTGATACCTTGTGGGGCAAAAGCCTGGGGTGGGAAGTGGAGAGATGTGAAGTGATGAACCAGCAGGTGGGGAAAGAGTTAAGCAACTCATCTCTTCCTCCTTCTCCCCGAAGCAAATTTCTCTCCTGTTTTAAAAATAAGATTGAAGTCAGGGCATATAGAAAACTAGAAGGTATTGTTTCTCCCTTAGTGATCATGGAATTTTGTAACTCTTCTAACTCTGGCAAGATTGACGAATTCCATATGCTGTATTCCTGGATGTCCTTACGAAAGGCGTAGCATAGTAGTTGGGATGACTGAGGCACACATAGGTGTTTCCACTTTCGGAAATGCTCCTTTCTCTAAAAGATCAGAATCTGGGGTGCCTGAAAATATTAGTTACTTGCAGTCAGTCCATTGCTACTTCTGAGCATGTCCTTCCAAAAGGGTCTGCAAGATGGAGCCTTATGTCTCTGGTCGTCACATTGTCATTTTCCTTGGAAGCGCCTCTCCTTCAGACAGTAGCCTCCTACAGGCATTTGGTGGCGCCATTGGCAGCGCTTTGGAAGAATCTCCCTCTCCGGCACTGGAATATTTAAACGTTCCAAAGGTCATTCTTCAAAGAGAAGAATTTATCAGTTGCAGGTAATTATATCTTTTAAAACCTGCCCATCCTCCTGTACAATTCATTTTCCTACTGGAATTTTAGCTGTATCCTCTAAAAAGCAGCTGGATCCCACAGATCCTATCCTGTAAATGAATGAGTCAGATTCAGAGAGCTAACAAACAAATCTTTCTTATGCAATTGACCTGCCTCATCCACTCTTTGTGGGGTCCTAGCGCAGTGGAGCAGCACTTGCATTGCCTGCAAAAGGACCCAGATTTGAAAAAACCTTCCCTGAAACTCTGGAGAGCCACTGCCTGTCTGTGTCAACAATTCTTGGCTAGATGGACCAGTGGTTTTCCCTTAAAAACCAAAAGGTGGAAGAGCTTCACAGTCTGTTTTCAGCTGTAGTGCTAGGAGTCACCCATGTGGAAGCACCCTAGACACGGTGTGGACTGGTGTCCCCTGGAGTCTCCCTCATCACTGCCTAGACACTTCTCAGTCCTGTGAGGGCACCTCCTTCACCTGCTGCCGCACTCCTTAGTCTAGCAATGCAGGCTATGAGGGGCCCCACAGTGTAAATTAGATTGGACACCCCAGTTGGAATTGGATTAGATGAGAGGATGGAGTTTAGTCAGTCCAGCTTTACATCTGGAATTAAAACCATTCAAATGCACATTTTATAAATCAGTATGGCAACTGTGAGCTATTGAAAAGTTCAAGAAGAATTCTTTTAAACCGCGAGGAATAGATTTATAGATTTATCTGGGAAACACTGCTGGTTTCCAGTTTCTAGCCAGTCAACTACTCCAAAAGATTATTGTATTTTCTCAGTAATTGGGCAAAAAGGACAAAGTCACTAATGCAAAATTAAGCTGAAAGTCAGGAGTGTAGAGCTTCTTCCAGCCTATTTCAGAGATGCTCTTGGGGTCTGCATTCTGGGGAGAGGGGGAAAGCGAAAGAGGCAGGGGCAGAAAACCAAGACCCAGCATTTTTTTAGCTTAAAGCACTTATTGCCAGGACCTAAACTTTAGGGGAAGCATTCCAGCCTTTTAGGGGGTGGTTCTGCACCCCTGCTGAAGACAAAGGAATATAAAAAGGAAGCTCATGCCACAACGAATTTTGTCAGTTTCCTTTTTATTAGCACTGCCCTTGACTCTACTTAGTAGATTTAATCCTGTTATCTTGTCATTATTGATATAACCTGCTTGCTCACCTGTCCAGATGCTATTACTGCTGACACACCTAAGAGGAAAAGGCCATCATCAGGGGGCAGGGTCCTTGAACCCAGCACCCCAGAAGGACCCAGCCCCAGCCCCAGCCCCAGCCCCAGCCCCTGTTCCTTGTCATCACTTCTGCCCCTGACTCACCAGCTTGGCAATGAGAAGTAATAATGTTGCAGAGTTGCAGCCACTACGCAACTCTTGCTCCTTTTCTCTGGGTGGCAGTGAAGATTGGGGCCAATCCACCTTTTGCCCATTTAACATGGGCTATGTTTGTCACTCCTGTGTAACTTCTGCAGGAATTCCATTCAGTAGACGCACCTAAACAAATTTGCCAATGGCACTGGCATTCTTCACACATTTCTGGAATTTCAGAGCCTGCCTGCAAATCTGAAACCCAAGTGCTACCTGTCCTCACTTCCCGCCTTTCTGCAATGTTTCATGCTGTAGCGCAATGTGCCTCAACCTGGTCATTCCCCCCGAAATAAGCGTGTCTCCCCTTTGCAGGATCTGCTCTTTTCACCTGCCTTTCCCATTGCCTGGCATTGAATTGAGGGACATGCTAGCACTCAACTATGACAGGAATTTGGCATACAAAATCACCAGGAAACTCTAATCTCCAGCACCAGCATAAGCTGTGGGGTAAGCAGTGCATAGTAAATGGCCACATCCATTCCATCATGGGCAGGGGGAGAAATATCACTGTGTTTAAGTGACACCGTCTTTGCCAGATGCCTTTAGCCTGCTGGCTAGGGCTGCCCCTTCCCCGACCTGATGCTTTTCTAATGTTTGCAGCTACTTCTTCCATCATAATTAAGCATCTGAGGCTGTCATACTTTGGTCACATTATGAGAAGGCAAGACTCAGTGAAGTAGACAATTAGGGAAAGTTGGAGGCAGAAGAGAGAGAGCA